CAGTCGAGTAAATAGAGTCGATTGGCGATGAGTGGATTCGAATTTACACGATTGGAGTTTACGTGGGATAAAAAATAATCCAGCCGTAGGATGATGACTGCATCAGCGGTTGATATTCATTGCTGTACTGCTACTGATAATGATAATAAAATGCGAAGTCAGCGTACGATGTCGTGTGCGTCGAGTTATCGTTAAATATGTATTAGTAGAATGACCAGAGGAACAGGATAGTGACTGTTGAGACGAGATATGCGGAGTCGTATTCCTCTATGGTCATGCAGCCTAGCGTGGTTTGTGTGGTTAGAGGGATATGCGCTCAACCTCATTTGTTACGAAACCGTATTAAGGCATAAAAAAAATACCAATACATATGATTATCGATGACAGTGAGTGAGACTGACTTGAATGAGACGAACAAGAGTGTATCTTTGAGAGACTAGCTCTAAACTCTATGTTCTTGTATACCATGCAATGGAAATAGAATACTAATTGCAGTAACCAAATATTTTTGATGCGTAATAGATGATGCAGCATTCAGATTTACATGTCGATGAACAGATAATATGAACATAATCATTACTAATCGGCTGGTAATGCGGCGTCAAATACTTGATTTGTGTATAGACATTAAAGTAGGGATCATCGTAAAACAAAAATTGCGAAAGTTCGGTTTACGTTGTCGCTGAAAATATAAAAAATGACGATTGCTGCGTACCAATGGGATGAATGGACATTAGTGGTATCGAGAACATAAGTTCCTACTATCGGGAGTATGACTCCAAACTTATGTATATGATAGAGTGTAATATTAGACCGAAAATGACATGAAAAAGATTGGAACGAACTCACCCGAATCAGGAAACATTTTCGTCATTGGATAATAAAAATAATCCAGTGAGTTTCGAATATCATAACGTGTAATGTCCATATAATTATAATTTGTTCGATTAGTGATTCGACTGCGTAAATGTCATAATTTATCGTCCTTACGAATAAAAATAATAATTCCACGTTAGATGATGATATGACATTATTGTAATAATGAGCATGTGATGATTATTCGAATCGTAACGGAATATGTCGTCGGCGGTTCCATTTTTGATATGTGTTCGCTCGTTGTGGTCGCCAATTCCGCTGCGTGTTCCAAATACGGCTTGCCAATTATGTTGTAAGTTCGTACGTAGAGGTTGTCGATTCTGGTCCGTGTTCGTTCGGCGAGGCATCCAATTATGTTTTCGCGTTCGTAAGTCGGGATCGCTAATTGTGTTGCGTGTTCGTACGTCGGGATTACCAGTTTTGTAGTGCCGTGCTTCGATCATAGTTCGCTTCGATAACCGTTATTAATACCAATCTTAACGGTGTATAATATCAGAAGGCAAAGGGAAGCGGCAACTACATTTTTATTGATAATCGATGCAGACCAGAAAGTTGTAAGCACATGAGCAACTGTAAGCAAGCGAAGCAAAGATGATGCGTATTGGAGATGGCTGGGAAGCCAACTCATTTTAAGCAAGCGTTAACTAACATTTATAGGCAGGCAAAAATGAGTGACAGACATATGATGAATAAGATACGAAGTGTACACATATGCGCTCATATAAAAAGTACTCAAGGTTAATAAGCAAATGATTAACAAGATCAAAAGATGACTCAATGTACAGGTGAATTGGCTTGGCCAGTAACTAGAATAAAGTATATGGGCCTAACATATGAACTGGTACTACACTGTTATATTTATTCTTGGAAAGTAATAGCCTGATTCTATCCACTTGTTGTTGTTTTACTTGTATCTTCCCATTGTTATATTGGACTGCAATTGATCAGTCTCTCGTCGGCATATGTGCATCCTATGCGAACTGCCTCGATATTGCCTGAAATCACAAGCTTTATAAGCAAAGATGTATAGTGGCTAGCAGTGGATTGTTCCATTATAAATAATAGGAAGCAGTAGCAGACTGTACATTTCTGGTAACTTGAATTTAAAAGTAAACTAACATAGCTTCAATAACGAACATCTTATAACCATATCAGATTTTAAGGGAGAATTTTATTGTACCTATTATTGGTTTCAATGTTATAAAACAAAACGAAGTGCAGTAATATCTACTCGATTGATTTATCAAGTTACACTACTTATGAGTAACTCTTTTTTTACTGAAGATTTTTTCTCACTCGTTTTGTTCATTAATCAGAATTTTGACCATTCATGACTCCCCCCTTTTTGTCGCCTAGTTTGTGGTTGATGTTTAGTGGTTATAAATGGTTTCCTTAGCTGAAATGTAATATGTACTATTATAACTATGTATTACATGAAGTGAGAACTATCTTTTATGTGAAACTGACGGTAAATTTATTTATTTCAATCTGAAACATTAAGTCGTCTACTTAGACAACATAACTATTCTTGATCACTTATGATTGTAGTACTCTGATTTTAGAAAACAGAATACTTAATCTTGAAACGACTAAGAATAGCTTAATAGATTAATATTTTGAGGTAAATCTTATCTATGGATTATTCATCAATGTTTTCTATCGTCTAACTCAAAGTTTTCATTGTAATCAGAATAAACGAATTTGAATGAGCTTCTTACGGATAATCTACTATCTTTAATACACTGATGGGTAGATTAATATCATTCATATTAGGAATAACAGAACAAAACTGTGATATGTAATATTTGTATAAAACAAACATTTTAAAGAATTATTTAGTTCATTCTAACCTGGCATTTGTTTCAGAATATAAACTTGTAACTGCTTAATAGGGCGAAACGAATACAGAAAGCCAGAATATGTGTTAATCTTTAAGTTCATGATATATATGATTAAGGATTTCACAAAAACAATCAGAGGTTATTCGTTATGAGATATGTAATAATTACTTGAAGAAGACGACCATACACATACTTTAATATGTCAAAATTTTGACAAATTGACCCATACTCATTAAAGAAGTTATTACTTACCGAAGAACATTTGTTATTAAAGTTAAAGACTAAGTGGAATACCATAATAGAGGCATACGATGGTGTTATTGTCTAACTTTATCCAATCCACGAAATTGAGCAACCATTTTACCAATGTCTTCAGTGAGTTAATATCTCACAACAGACGTGGTTGAACTCGATTGGTCACTGCTTCTCACTAGAACTCCAGGAAATACCTCTTGAAGCCAGTCAGTAGTGAGCATATAATAAGGGATATGAAATGTCTACTAATCTTCTTATTACATCATCATGTTTATTCATTGTTCATGTGTTCTCACAAATTTAGTATATTTCATTGTATATCTTGGTAATAAATTAGTTGTAAAGAAACCCCTTCACTAAACTTTATATTTTAACTATCAAGGATTAACTACGTGTAACTTTTAATAGCATATATTCAAAACATTTGAAATAAGATTACCAAATTATTATTAGTAATATAAAGTAAAACGCAATAAAGTCACAAGTGTATATTATTTATTAAATGTCATATAATCCAAAATAGATGATATATGATCGTTTTATCGAAATTTGAACAATGGCTGTCAGGATAATGATTTTTATTCTTCTCTTTTCGTTAAAGTAAAAATAATGAAGTAATATTTATATCAGAATGGGGATTTGTAGAGATTACAGATGCATTTCCCACGTGACCTAAGGACCATGTATGCTATTCCCTATGGAAAAGTTGTGAACGTGCGCATCATGGAAACCAGATTCGTAGATGAAATAGCTGTTCAATTAAAAATTTGTCATCTCAATTACATTCAACAATTTTAACAAACTTCATCTACTGAAAATATTTGAATTCAATGAACTTAAAAGCCAGAGTGAAGTCACTTAGTCTTAATGTAGTGAACATTACACGGGTGGGGACAATCGAACGTATTAAAGCACAAATTACAGACTATCTCACTAAATTTTGATAACCATACAGTCAACAGTTAATTTGCAGAATAATAATCGATTATCTCAATTTTAACTGTTTCTTCTGCAAATATAAGTCCGTCTTCTCTGATTTCATTTTTCATGCATTTTCATACCGATTGCGCTTCATTCCTGATCTTTGCTTATCGATCTTCAGCTAAAATACATTCTATGTCTGACCACCACCATATACTACTTATGTGAATATAAGTAGACCACACCACAATAAGTTGGATTTAAACTGTTTTTAACTAATACGAATATTCGTCAAGGTTAGAACGAATAGTTTGACAATAATTGGGCGCCGAGTATAGAGAATTCATTATATGTGAAAAAATTATATTTGAAATAGTTTCAGCGATTGAAATATAAATAATTCCAACATTTCCTCCAGCTAAACTGTCTGAACTTCTTCAGGGAAGTTAGCTGAACGAAACGTTGGAATTATTTATATTTCAATCGCTGAGACTATTTCAAATATGATTTTTTCACATATAATGAATGTTTTTAACTAAGATTTATAATTTAAATGTGGTTTAGCCGATACCTCTCATTTCATTATCATCATGTAGTAATCGTATCATATAATATATTTATATTAATCCTATCAATCTAACTTATAAATTAATCACTTGGTCATTAAATAGGAATAATATGTATTTATAAAATCTCAGAGAATGAATTTGAAGTAAATCCAACGTTTCACCTGGCAATCTGGTCCAATATTTTTCAAAGATTTACTTCAAATTCATTCGCTGAGATTTTATAAATACATATTATTTCTATTTAATAGTCTTACATCAACTCGGTTCCCAAATACTGTGAAACTCTTCGCTCTAATTTCGTCAAAATTTCTTATATAATCACTTAGTCTTTTAAAAAAAAAAGAACAATTCATATTATATCGAGTATAATATGTATTGAATCGGTTCATTAGTAAATATTATTTAACCCATTCATTAATAAGTTACAATTCTATTGGTCCTTTCACTTAGTAACCAATCAGATTCCAATTAAAAATTACCAGTTTAACAAGAAGCTATTTAATGAACTAATATGAAATGATCAAATTATAATTAGACAAAACATTTACATTCTTTTTGTTTTTCTTTCTTTAATATAAATCAATTAAATGGAAATAAATACTAAATTATAATCAATTCAATGAACAATAATAATAAACTTCAATTACAATTCATTGAAACATTGAATAATCAAACATGTTTATGGTCATTAAAAACATTTTATGATTTACCTTCATCATATAAAATGTATTATCTACATAAAAATACTAATTCAATCATTCAATCATTGCATTTATCATTAAATCCTAATTATAATTGGTTTCCATGGTTTATTATTATACCTATATTAATTGTAATTTTTACAATATTCGGTAATTCATTAGCATGTTATGTTGTATTAAATGATCGACATCTTAGGCATAGATCAAATATATTTTTTATATCATTATCTATAATTAATATTATATTTTCTAGTACAGTTATGTTATTTAATATTATCTATAATCTTATTAATCCAAATTATTTTTCAGATAATTTAATTAAATTATTTTTTTCATTAGATCAATTATTTTGCACAGTAACTATATTACATTTAGTTGCTATGGCATTTGATCGTTTTATACATATTAAAGTACCATTAAAATATTCACGTTGTTTTAAACCAAAATATTTATTAATTACCATAATTAGTTTATGGTTTATATCATTTTTAATAGCATTTATACCAATACAATTTAATTGGAATATAATTCATTATAAAGAATGTTTAACAATAAGTAATACTACTACTACTACTAGTAGTAGTAGTATGATAAGTACATATTTTACAAATAAAAATTATACCACCCCTTCCATTCAATCATTAATATCATCATCTATTGAAGATATCACATTGATACCTAAACAATTAACTTGTATACATAAAGTGGATAGATTCTATGCTATCACCAATGCTATATTTAGTTTTATTATACCATTAATAATAATGATTATAATATATACACATTTATTTTTATTAACAAAACAACATATTAATCGATTAAATATATTCCCTAGTTTCACTAATGATACAAATGACTTAGCAACAAATGAACAATTCAATAATAATAATAATAATAATAAACAAATTATTTATTTATTAGATAATTCATCAAATTTTTCAAAAAAATTTAAAAAAATTTTTAAAATAAAAAAATTTTTTTTTAATTATCATATAAAAAATCCTTTGACAACAACATCTATGGATACAATAAAAATATCATCAGAATTATGTAAAATAAAACAATTAAATTATACATCATTACGTTTTATTAATATTAAAACAAAAAATGATTATTTAATTCATATGAATAAAACAATAAATAGATCATGTATTATGTCGACGAATTCATTTACATCATTAGATCAATCAATGAATCGTCGTAAGCATAGTTTACCCTTATATACTATATCAAGAAATTCATCATTTAATATATATAATACTAATAATAGTAATAGTAATATGAATATGAATGATATAATACGTCCACAATTAATAATAAATTATCCTGAAAAACAAATATATAATTCACATAAAGCAGCAATTACATTAGGTGTTATATTAGGTTCATTTACAATATGTTGGTTACCATATTTTACAATTAATTGTATAGCATCATTTTGTGATTATATACCAAGTAAGTTAGTATTTGATATTATTCAGTTTTATGATAATTGAATAGTTTTTTATTGATATATGGACATCCTATATGGTTGGCATCAATAATGTCTTAAGTAACAAATGTTATAAGCAAAGATAGATGTCAATCAGAGACTGATCCATTGAAGTTCTAAACATCAATGGAAAGATTCAAACGAATAGTTAAAAAAAATGAATTTATAATTCACCTTATTGCACAAGTTAGTGGCTATCAGGACTTAGTAGCTAAGTAGATTCGATCTCTGGATTGGTTATCAACACTGGGATGCAGATATATTGAGATGACGAGTCTTGAATGGGACGAAACACACATCTTGGTTTCCCCTGCTAACTACCGTCCATCTTTGCTTATAATTATATAATTGTTGTATACTTTATCCTAGTAACCATAATTACTAATTTCTCGCTAATAACTTAATTATGAATTCTATAGCATTAGATGCAAATTATATTTTGAAAAACAAAATAAGTCACTAGTTCTAAAGTGTTGAGTAGCGTAACAAAAATTAAAAAAAGAGAACTTTTAAGTAATTTTGTTTATTATTAGTAACTATAATTATGATTGTTTTAAGCTAGACAAGCAGAAGAAAACTTGAAGTATTTTATATCAGTCGTCATATATTTCTCCTGTATACTCCCCATGTAACTTTGCAAAAACGTTTGGATTAGTGAACATTATGCAATCAGTGACTTTTAACTATTAATTTGTTTGAAACTTATAAAATTAATATGGATTTAGTGATAAGAGTATTTCAATTACACTCTATTGCCAAAAGTGAGGATAGCAAATAAACTATTCCTACGATGCGCTTTGTCATTACTAAATATAATTGAATGCGTGAGTCATTTGAAGTTAGACCACCAGGGGAAACCTGGAAGCACTGGAAACCCGTTTCGCTCTTGGATTTACCTCTAGTGAGAAGCAGTGACCAGTGGAGTTCAAAACACGTCTGTTGTGAGATAATAACTCACTGAAGACATTGGTGGATGTGTCGCTCAATTTTGTGGATTGGTTGAAGTTAGACATTAACACCGTTGGATGCCGTCTGGCTCAGCCGTCTATCGGTTAGGTACTCTGGCGGGAGACTGGGAGGTCTTGAGTTGGAATCTCGTGAGGTGGGATCGTGGATGCTCACTGCCACTGAGGGGTCCCATAATAGGACGAAACGGGTGTCCAGTGCTTACAGGTTTCCCCTGGTGGTCTAGCACATGATTTGAACTATGCAAATACTAAATCTCCACTAAAAAAACCCTTCTGACAATAATACTAAATATACCTGGTCTGATAATACATCTAAACATGATGGAATTTAATTAGAAGAAGGACAAAATAATTTCAAAGAATCTGTCACCTAATATGTTGGGCTACCGTATTCTTATGCTTGTTAGTAATTATACTGTAATTCAAATTTATTTGATAAATCATAACCTAATGTAATGAACTATTCCATTTGCCAATTATTTTTGATAAATACCAATAATTAGTTGCATTGTAGTTAAATGATCTGGCATAATTAGTATGGATGTTTTATTGTTAATAGGTATAAAAAGTGAAGATATTTGAAACTTAATCAAGGATGAAATATATGATTAAACATTAAAGCATAAAATCATATTCACTAGCAGAGATTATGTCTTCAGTTATAAGGTCCGTATATTACATAAGCTACTATGATAAATACATCTCAGTGATATATATATATAGCGAATGAAGAGCTCAGGTGGAGATAACTAATCTATTGTTTAGTGCGAAATTACAGTTTTTCACAAAATATGAAAAGCATACTTTAAGTATGTCATTCGCACATCATCCATCAGTTGTCTCGTGTAAATTTCCTTGTTCCTCCACTCTCTGTTCACAGTCCTATTGTCTTCAATTCGGTCTCCTCAATCTTCTGCTGCTATGCATTCTACTTCTGATTAGTGTTACATACTACTTATATGTGAACATAGGAAGCATGGATTATATATATATATATATGACTTTGGTATTTAGTTAGTTAATAATTTAATTCGTAGGTTTCTTCACCAAAAATCGATATGAATTTGAGCACCATTGTAAAATTGTTGGAACTAAATAGCTCTTTAGTTCCACATTGATTTTAGAATCCAATGGTCAAACAGTCTGATAGAAGTATTTATTTCCTTGAAATTACAGGTATACTTTGGAATGAGTGATAAGTAGCACGAAACTTATGTCCAGAGTTTCCTGTCAATAACTTTTCGCTTTAACATTCATTTAATGAAGAAATAAATCAAGTTTCTTTGAAGTAGTCACTACAACTTTCTTTATGAATAGCTATAGAATAGATTGCTTGATATAATATAAAAATGATTTTATATAGTTCACTGCCATGTACACTGTTATCAAGGTGAGAAATGATAGGGGGTTTTAAATATAGAATGAACGTTTCATGGGTAATTTCACCATAACTCTTTCAATATATTTAACAACATAATCATGTTTATTTGATTTTTAATTAGCTATTTACGGTATAAATATTCTTTGTTTATTTGTTCATGTTGAATTCCAAACAACTTGGTTGTTATTTATTTACTTTTCACTTTATATAATCCATTAAATATTTACCTTTGAAAGTTGATCAACTGTTTATAGGATAAATGACAGTAGTGGAAAAATTGATAAATCAATATGAACTTAAAGTAAACATTGAAATTTGTAGATGATTTATGAAAAAAAAGGGAATGAATTAAACATCATAACTGTTGAAATCTCTGTTGAATCGCGAGAAAAATGTTCTATCAATTTTTGAAAATAAGTAGTCTTATTCTAAATGTGGAGTTCAACCAGGTCTGTTGTGAGATAGTAACTCACTGAAGATATTTGGTGAATGGTTACTCAAACTTCGCTGATTGGCTGAAGTTAGACATTAACACCGTTGGATACCGGCCAGATCAGCGCTCGCACTCGAGACTGATAGGTGCTGGGTTGGAGTCTCGTGATGGCGGATCGTGAATGCGTACTGTTGAGGAGTCCCACAATAGGACGAAACAGGTGTTCAGTGTTTCCAGGTTTTTCATGGTGGTTTAGCTTCAATTAACTCATAATTTCAACTATAAAATTATTCTAAATGGTTTGTGATATGTTATGGAAAGTAATCAACATTGAAACAAGATCTATTCCGTTTAAAGTCTAAGATTATTTGTTAATCTGTTGTAATTTTTGTTATTCAAAGTGATTAGGGGATAAAAGATTAATCGGATTAGAATTTTTCATAATGTCATTAGAAATCAAGTGTTGAAATAAAGTTTTTGACTTTTCTGAACAGTTTATTGTATATTAAATATATATAGATTATTGTTTTTTGTAGTGCTTCCAGGTTTTCCATAGTGGTCTAGCTTCAATTAACTCACGATTTCAGCTTTATAAAATTACTAAAATCTCCACAAAACCCCCTTCTGATAATGAGTATATGCTAGTTTGATTAAAACAATGCAATGACGTTTACTGGAATAGATTGGTGTTATAAATTCATACGACTAGTCTTCTAAGATTTACAGTTGAATGAAACGCAATTGTTTGTACTTAACAAATGTTTCACAAATTACTTGAACTCAAAAAAGGTATTTTTTACATTTAATATGCAAACAATGATTCAAATTAAGCAGAGATGGATAGTGACTAGCAGTGGAATCCAGGACACACGTTTCGTCCTATTTGGGACTCGTCAACTGGATGTACCTGCATCTCAGATTTGATGTTCACTCTGGGACTCGAACCCATTACCTTTCGCTTCAAAAGCCATCACGTTATCCACTCGGCCACTGAGTTCTGATAGCCACTTGCTTGTGCGAAGATTCAAACAAAGAATACTAAATTAATTTAATGATTCATATCAGTTACAGATCACATTGGAATGAAATGAGATCTAATAAACTATTGTATCTTATTAGTTATTAGAAATATCCAAGTATTTATTATGTCTGCAGGGTTTCGTGAATTGTTATTTAGCTACCATTTTATTACTATATAATATTGTATTTATTTAACAAATATAAAAAAATACAAGTACTCATATCCCACTTTTTAAACAGCATGGATGTAGGCTAGCATTAAATATGGAAGACGTGTTTCATACTATTAGGGACTCATCAGCTAGATTTACTGGAATCCGACAGTTGGTGTTCACTCTGGCACTCAAACCCCGTATCACTTGTTTCAAACATTTGAATTACATAGAAAACTAATTAAAAACTAATTTATTATTCTGGTTTTGGTTTATTATTCGGTTTTTGATAAAGTATTTCAAATATTTTTACTCATTTAAATTTTATTGTAGTTCCTGTTAAAATTTGGTTGTCATTTAATTAATTAATTAATTTATTTAAACACATAAATATTGGTACAAGGGGGCACCAAATACATATGCGCCACACAAATCTCATTTGATTTGTGTGAAGGCTGTGATACTGCTCAGGTAACCAAACTGGTGGTTTTCTTAGGGAGCCACACCCCGAGCCTTTGACCTAAAGGTCTGATCCACAAGACAGTGGAGCATCGTGAGGAGATGCAGTCCCATGGTCGCCGGTGACCAACAACAGGTTCATACGCCATTTGTTCCCTCAGGATACTGGAGCTCATGTGCACCATTGGTTTGGATCAGGGTTTTCGAACTCTCCCAGGTGGACTTTCTGTGTCCACCAACCCGGTCAAAGCGCCGGACATTCACTTCTCGTCCTCTCAATTTCGTAAACAACAGTAATGTCACGAGAAGGCAGTGAGTAGGACTTCCCTGACAGAGGCTGTATACGCGTGGCCATGTGAGAGCATTTGGAGAGGGAGAGCAGACTCTCCCCACTCTCGGTCGTGCTTTCTTTCTTATATGGTTTAATCCGCATCCTTATTCTTGTATATCCTATTCATTGTTACAGTTTACCTTGATTTATTGATTAATATAACAGTAAATCTTGGTCACAGCTGTTTTTTTTAATTTATCATATAATATCTACAATAAT